AGAAATAGCATTCGGCGCTGGACCAAGTGTGCGCCGGCCAATGCATGCTGATAAACCCGTCGGACGAATTTAAATCCCATGATGGCATCCGCGGTAGCTTCTTCCCTCCGGATCCGTGCTCCTCGATCCCGGATCCTTCGCATTGCAACAATTCCTTCAGCCGCCGCGCTACGGCTTAAATGTATCACGCCGGACGATTTATTAACCCATTTCACGAGCAGACACTGCGAACTTCGAGGATTTCGTCGAGATAGATACCGATAACTTTCCACGTTGGAACGAACCCCCGCCGTCTTCGTGCTCTGACAGTGCTTTCGTGATTGCGATGGCGGCCATTTTCCCAGCGAGAATATTTGCGATCTGATGAATCGCCCGCGGTACCTCGACACAGAGAACACGAACATAAATAATATTTTCGTTGTGTTACCTCGTGAACCATTTTATTGAAATTGCAGACAATGCAATAAATTTCTGATAGCGGGCGTTGTGAATAGATTTTTAGTTTGTAACCATCTCGCTTCTTTTGTGAATTGGCAATTTACAATTTTATTTCGAAAATTTATTTAGCATCATAAGACTGACAGAAATATTAATATCCATTGCTTTTGTTGATTACAGCCCTCATTAGCAGAGCTTGCATCAATGAATGAATAAAAGACTTGACTCGTTAAAATAAAAGCGTATTTAAATAATAGCCGGCTGAAAGTACTGCCGAGGAAGTAGCCTAGCATAATTAATGTTACTGAAACATAAAGTCCATCCTTATTAACAATTATTATCGAAACTTGTGAATACGCATTCACAAGTTCCATTTGTGTATTAAAATTATCTCTTTTCTACTTTCTTAAGACCTCATCTCTTTACTGTACTAATAATGTAAAAAGTTTTTACATTAGCGAATCGTTTCTAGCTGGGAGGGGGGAGGGAATATGATCAGCGCGAAAAATCTTGGTTATAAAATAGTTTGTAAAATTAAATTATACAAGTCTCGAGTTAGTAAAAATAGCTGAGTTAGTAAAAATAAATTACAAGTTTAAGGTTACAGCAACAAATTTATTGAAGAAATTTATTAAATAAGAATATAATGTTCCGTGATATTTTTTATAGGAAAGGTAAACAATCCTACATACAGAAAAATACTTACTGTACACAAGTATTACTTGTTTCAAGTATTTTAAAAGTTTATACATCCGTAAATTTATCATAAGTTTATCACAAGCATCAAATTTAGTCAAAATGTATTCTGAATAGCAAGTTTATAACTTCGATAAAAATTATTACATTAAAATAAATTCGATTTATATAAAATTGCTTCTTCGATCAATTTATAATATTATTCTTCAAAAGAAAATAAATTCTTATTTTGAATAAGAATAATAATGAGTATTTCTAAAACTTGTAATAAGTATATTTTAAGATTATTATCACGAAAATATTTTTCATTAAAGATAATTGTTACTTAAAAGCAAGAAAATAAATTGAGTAATCACTTTTCTTAACAACAGAATGATATTTTTCTGTCTGTAGTAGAAAAACGTCGAAAGAACTTTGCGATCTGCACAGATAGCATAATGGAAGTAATTCTCAGTTTGCGTGCAGGTGTAAATTGGGCACGATCTCGGTGTTGTAAACTAACCACGGAGTTTCGTATAATTTTATTACTTACGCGTTATATCGCTAAACCGTAGTTGCATTATATTAACAGGTTTATCGAAAGAGGAGAGAGATAGTTAGTTCGCTTAGCATTAGAAAATTAATATTTGCAATCAAGTTACAGATGTCATCCACAAACAGATTGATCGGGTGTGTTTCTCGCAACTTTTTAAGAAAGCTCTTAGTATCTATTATCGCACTGAGAATAAACAATAGCACTTACTCCTCTATTATCTAGGGGCATACTTTATACAGACGTGCTTGCACAGTTAGTTTCCTTATCTCGCAGCGCGACTGCAGAACAATTGCATCGGCAACGATGTGACCAACGTTCCAACTCGCGAAAACACGTAGTCTTCCGCTTTCCTATCGTATTGTTGCATTCAGTTCCTTCGCTGTTTTCCTTGCGCGACGACGGGATAATTCGCTAATGGAGGGACAACTCGCAATTACTCCGGCGTTGTTCTTATCGCCTTTTGCAGCGACACTTTCTTGAAGTACCTATTGTTATTCCCCATCCTGGCGACATATTTTGCGCGCCACTCGAAAACAACTTTATATCGGGAACCGTCGTCGCTTAATTGTATTAATTAATTAACTACCGGGAACTACCGGTGAGACCGACTTACAGGCACATTACGGTAACAAGTTTGCGGTTGTGGAAAGACGGAAGTTGCTCTAGGTCAAAGTTGAACACGATAGGGACGTCGAGGCAAGCCATTCAATCCGCAAACAGGATTTATCTTCTCCCGCTCACTCGTCTTGCGTATCCCCATTTTGTCTCTCACACCTCTCTTTGTCTTTCTCTTGATTTTCACGTCCAACAAAGAGACAATTTCCTGATGGGCAAGCATTCTGAAACATTTTATTGGCCTCTCGCTTAAAACTTTAAAATAACTCCTAAGTAATTTAGTTAAAAATATAACATTTAGATTCGAAATTTTCGTAAAGGATCTACTCCAAAGGTATAAAAAAGTGTCGATTTTTATAATTTAGCTTATTATTATTATTATTAATATTAATATTAATATTTTTGTATCTGTAGTCATGAAGCTAGGAAGGATCAAAGGCGTAACATTTAGATTCAAAATTACGCAGAGCGGTGAAGGAAGATGGAACTAGTAATTTGATTTGCAAACACAATTTATTTTCTTTTGTTCTCCTACCACGTCGGTCTGTCGCTTCTCTTAGCCTTGAATCTTCTTGCCCTTTGATTCACTTATGACACTAAAAGACGATTTACTAATGGACAGACATCTGCGGAACGACTTTTACTTTGCTATCTTCTTCAACGTATGTCCGCATTATTGCTCCCTTTTATTGCACGCTTTTATTTAAAAAAAAATTTTATTCTTATTCTTATTCTGTCCGTACTATATGCAGTGTCATATACCAATTATGACAATGCTCGCAAATATCTCTCGACTTAATCAGTTTTTTTTCAGAATTTATCGCGTTATCAGAGACGGATATATCTGTCCTTTTAATCTTAAAGCATGGCAACACCTTTATAGCGAAGCGCACCGTGAACGATATAGAGGCGTCAATTCAATCCACAAACGGGATTTATCGTCTCATCTCCTTTCTGCTTCTCATCCCCGCCATAGATCTCTCGTCTGCCTCGATTTTCTTATCGTGCGGAAAGATTCGACGGGGAGTTGCTCTCCGAAGATTTCTAAAGTGCTTTCTTTTTTTTCTTCTTTCGGATCTTCCGGAAATGACGCTTATCCAGAGTCACCATTGTTCGATTTGTATCGTTCCCCGATTCTACTGCACTCTCGAAAAGTTTCGATCAATATAGTAAATTGAAAGTCGGGCTTATAGCGCCCAATGTTGACAATGTTGTCAAACGAGTTACAACGTCGTGGAAGACGGCATTAACGGATTACGCGCGCTCACGCCTAAAGCTAAATCGATTCTCTCTGAATAATCGATTCATTACCTACCTAGCACGCGAGATAGGTGCATCGCTTGCGGCGTATCGAAGGATCCTTCCCAATGTACACACGTCCTAACCCTCGGCTTCTAAGAAATTACTTTCATGAATCGCAGTTTGCCCGGGAGAAATTAGTACCGTCTGTAAATTATTCTTAAGTCAAAGAATTACGACCACGATCCTCGCTACCTAAAGGAATTACATTGGAAATTAACTTTCGAATCGTCTTTTAAATTGGATTTATATATTTGCGTAGAGTTTTCTGCTAGAGTACGATTAAACTTTCCCAATATTGACGTGTTGATACAGTCACTTGATACTGTCGCGTTAATACTGTCATTTCAATTAACGCAATTAACATGTTAACACTTTAATCCATCCTTTTTTTCCATCGTTTGTTTATATCCTCACGAATAAAATTTCTTGCAGCGGCATAAAAATACGTTCTTTGCTATAAACCTTAAATATTGTCTCTCTTCCGTGGAAAAACGAGCCGTCGTTTACCTCGGCATTATACCAAGAGGCCAGGGTGGTGGAAAAATGAAAGGATCGTAAAGTGGTGAAAACTTTATATTTCAAAGGTGTCAACAACGCTCGAGTAATGTCTGACTAACGAGAAACAACGTTTAACGGGATACCTGTACCACGATCGAGCTGTAATCGTTTTCTTGAACGACGCCATCGTCGAGAAAATACAAAGCGGGTAATGTAGAACAGCATTGAGTTGGATAGTTTCCTATACGACAGGGTTAAATAATATACAGTTTTAATGTAAACGTGACTTTTTCGTTGACTATACGCGACATTTCGTTTAAAAGCAGCGCAAATTACATTTTTTTAAATATCGCATTTGTAAAATGCTAACAAAAAATTAATCTGACATATCTATTTAGCCTGAAAATGAATGAGTACCATATTTCGTATAACAAATTAAAAAAGCCGGTGAGGCATTTAAAAGATTACAAATTTAATGTAACATTTAATGTGATTTACTTATATTCAAATGTTCTTTCATTTCTCGTTCTTTCTAATTAATTTTTAATTCATAAAATATGGTAGTCATTTTTATTAATAAATAATAAATATATGAAATAAAAAATTCTCTTAGAATTTATAAAGTGGTTTAAAAGAAAGCCATTATTCAACTTATTTCAATATACCTTCAATAATTGGAAAATCAAAAGAAATTATTACGATGCATAATAAAGTGATTTTGGTTACAAGATTGCCCTTTCAAATAGAACGTAGCAGAAAATTTAAAGCTTCCAAATTAAAATACATGAAATCTTTTATTCTGCGCCACTACTAACTGCTTTCTTTTTAATTTTGCTGATATATATTGTTTATAAGTAATTGATTTTATACGTTTTGTTTCTAAGCAACTCTGTCGTATTATGCTATAATTCATATGTTAAACTTGCTCAACCTCCGTGTGCTCTATGGATTCTCTCACTTTCGGTGATTTCGTGATCTTTAGAACGTCTTTTAAAGGCGGTGTCACCGAAACCGCTGCGCTTTCTTCTGAGAGTATGAATTCTTCATGAACAAGCGGGGATTCGAAATGATGGCCGAAACTTTTATAATCCCCGTGATCGTGATTTTCGAACACATGGTGGTGATGGTCTTCATGATGCTTATGATGATGATCATGTCCATGCTTATGGTGGTGATCCTCGTGATGTTTATGACCTTCGTGATGCTTGTGATGATGTTTATGGTCATGTCCCGCGTGATGCTTATGATCCTCATGGTGATGATGATGCTCGTGATGATCGTGATGATGTTTATGGTCGTGGCCGTGTTTATGATCTTCTTTATGATGATGACCATGCTTGTGAGATTCATGATGATGATGCTTATGATCTTGATGATGATGATGATGATGATCTTCATGATGACCATGATGATGGTCCTCTTTGTGACCGTGTTTATGTTCATGTTTGTGATGATGGTCTTCATGATGATGATGCTTGTGATCCTCGTGATGTCCATGTTTATGGTCATGTCCGTGTTTGTGATGATGATCCTCATGATGGCCGTGATGATGTTCTTCGTGATGGTCGTGCTTGTGCTCATGTCCGTGGTGATGCTTATGTTCCTCCTTGTGCTCGTGCTTATGATGCTCTTTGTGATCGTGTCCATGATGATGATGATGTTTCTCAGTTTCCTTATGACTGTGATGATGATGATGCTCATTAACATGGTGATGGTCGTGGTGATGATGGTGCTCGTTATGATGATGATGTTTATGATGATGATGATGTTCAGAGTGGTGTTTATGTTCTTCGTGATGTTCATGCTTTGAATGGTGATGATGTCCGTGATGATGCTTATGCTCTCCATGATGTTTATGCTCATGCCCATGCCTATGACCGTGTTTGTGGTGATGTCCATGCTTATGTTCATGACCATGATGATGCTCATGGTGATGATCGTGATCTTGATGATGTTTATGATCTTCGTAATGTTTATGTTCTTCATGATGATCATGCTCGTGCTTATGCTCATGACCGTGATGATGCTTGTGCTCGTGATGATGGCCGTGCTTAGCATGGTGGTCATGATGCGAATGATGACCGTGATGATGATCATGATGATGTCCGTGATAATGTCCGTGTTTATGGTGGAAGGAATGGGATTTATGATGGAATGACCTGTCGAAATCGTAAATTCTACGTTGTGATTCAGGGATCGGTGGGGTTACGATTGTGACATGACTAAGTGGTGACGATGTCTCGGTTATTCGCGTGATAATCTGCTTCGGTTGCGGAGTGATTCGTGGAACGATACTGGCGAGACTCGCGCCAAAAGTCGTCTCGAGAAGCGGAAGTGGAGTTTGACCATTTAGCAGTAACAATGGCTCTGGGAAGGTTAGCCCGAGATCGGCCAACTGTCGTTTCTTCTGATTTCTTTCGACTGGCGCGATAATGCCCGGTAGATTCTTGGGCACGAACGGTCGAGGCGGCTGCAATTGTCCCAGAAGCTTGATGGAGCCAACCAGTTCTTGTTTGGTCGCCGACACCTGCGGTCGAACCTCATCTCGTGTTTTAGGTTCCTGGCCAGTCGCTGCTGCCAGCAACAGACCGACGACCGGAAACCACGCCTAGGATGACAGACGAGCTCGGTAAATGGAGCCTGTTCGTGGAACGGCGATGTCTTTTGGATTGTTAATCTAATAGCAACTTATCATTATTGCCGAATTTTGATTAGTCATACACGGAAAGATATAACGTTGTGTCAGCAACATTAGTCAGCAGCATTCTAATTGAAAAATAATCTTGTTTCAATAACGATATTACTAAAACAAATAACATTTTATTAGACTAAGAACATAACAGTATTTGTTTCACTAATATTGTCATCAAATTATTTTTAATTAGATTGCTGTCGGCTAATGCTGTTGATATAATTATTTTTCCGTATAATAATTATAATACTTATATGAGAATATGACATCTTGGATATAAATATTTATTTTTATAATTTTAATTTTACTATAAGGGAAAACATTTAACAGTAACTAAATTATGTTTATATAATACATTCAATTGTTTTTGCAAAATAATTTCTCTGCTTTGTAAATAACAAAAATATTTGTTTATACCAACTAAATAATTTAGTTTGCATCAAATTACAGTTGTGTTCAGTACATTTTAATAAAAAATTTTTATTCGATATATTTTAACCAAATTTTTGTTGTTTTACAGCAAAATTTTGGTTTATAGAACAAAA